AAAGCTTCTGAAGCGTGATCATCGAACAATCAAGCGTTTCATTCAAAATAGTCAACAGGGTCGCAAGAAGCGTGTGGAAAAACCAAGGCGCAAAATAACTGCCCATGAACTGAGAAAAGTCAAGCGTGCAGCTGCCAAGATGCCACTTGCCACCAGTTTGGCCATATTTCAGAGCTGCAACATCACTGGAGTGCCCAAAAGCACAAGGTGTGCAATACTCAGAGACATGGCCAAGGTAAGAAAGGCTGAAAGACGACCACCACTGAACAAGACACACAAGCTGAAACGTCAAGACTGGGCCAAGAAATATCTCAAGACTGATTTTTCTAAGGTTTTATGGACTGATGAAATGAGAGTGAGTCTTGATGGGCCAGATGGATGGGCCCGTGGCTGGATTGGTAAAGGGCAGAGAGCTCCAGTCCGACTCAGACGCCAGCAAGGTGGAGGTGGAGTACTGGTTTGGGCTGGTATCATCAAAGATGAGCTTGTGGGGCCTTTTCGGGTTGAGGATGGAGTCAAGCTCAACTCCCAGTCCTACTGCCAGTTTCTGGAAGACACCTTCTTCAAGCAGTGGTACAGGAAGAAGTCTGCATCCTTCAAGAAAAACATGATTTTCATGCAGGACAATGCTCCATCACACGCGTCCAAGTACTCCACAGCGTGGCTGGCAAGAAAGGGTATAAAAGAAGAAAAACTAATGACATGGCCCCTTGTTCACCTGATCTGAACCCCATTGAGAACCTGTGGTCCATCATCAAATGTGAGATTTACAAGGAGGGAAAACAGTACACCTCTCTGAACAGTGTCTGGGAGGCTGTGGTTGCTGCTGCACGCAATGTTGATGGTGAACAGATCAAAACACTGACAGAATCCATGGATGGCAGGCTTTTGAGTGTCCTTGCAAAGAAAGGTGGCTATATTGGTCGCTGATTTGTTTTTGTTTTGTTTTTGAATGTCAGAAATGTATATTTGTGAATGTGGAGATGTTATATTGGTTTCACTGGTAAAAATAAATAATTGAAATGGGTATATATTTGTTTTTTGTTAAGTTGCCTAATAATTATGCACAGTAATAGTCACCTGCACACACAGATATCCCCCTAAAATAGCTAAAACTAAAAACAAACTAAAAACTACTTCCAAAAACATTCAGCTTTGATATTAATGAGTTTTTTGGGTTCATTGAGAACATGGTTGTTGTTCAATAATAAAATTATTCCTCAAAAATACAACTTGCCTAATAATTCTGCACTCCCTGTATGTGGTTCTCATTTTTCTTAGGAACAAAAATCAGGTTAAAAAAATCTGGTAATTCTTTGTTTTTACATTCATCGGGTCCCAATCAGCCCAAATATCAAAGAGAAATTAAAAATGCATGCCGTGAAAGAGTTCAGGTCTTAGGAGGTTAAAGAATTTTAACTCTGATCCTGGGGGAGCATATATATTAATAAAAGTAATCAGTGTACCCTCCAGGTATCCCTTTACTAGCACAAACCTCCCCTCCTGCTTGATATTAGAATTGCCACACCCCTTTTGGAGCCCCGAGGACAAGAAGGTGAATACTAATTAAATTTCCATTTCCTAAGTTTTGCATGCTCTAGCTGTGATAGGTAGGGTTCCTGTGAAATGCCAACTTCTTTTCCTTCTCTTTTTAATTTTGACATGATTTTGCTTCTTTTAATGTGTTTCCCCAAGCCATTTACATTGTATGACACTACTTTGCTTACGAGACTGTATTTTACATTATGTGATTTTAAGCTCTGTAAATAACAAGAAATCGAAAAGTACACTCCTGGGGAGAAAAAACCCCAAACAAACAACACGTGTGAAAAAGAACACTATAAAGCAAAAACATACAATCACATTGACTTCCAAGAACAAAAACACTATATTAGTTGTAATTGGTGAGGGAAAAGCTCTTCTATCCACTTGAGGAAGAGTGCCCTCTTTAGCCCAAAGGCCAAAAGCACAATGGTCTGTAGAGTCCAGCTCACTATGCATATGAGTGACCCAACTTTAATCTACTTTTATATGCTCATGTTATGAAATTATCAAAATATATAACTAAAACATCTTTATCAATATAGTCTGTGATCTCAGTTACTCTTAAATCTCTATATTCCTAAATTTACCTCCAATATGATGCTCCATCTCAAGTAGCCTAATTACCCACAGTCACACTGGTGCCTAAATGCCTGAAGACGCTCCTTGAAGCCCTGCTTTTGGATCATATTTCACTGTTTCTTCTTCGCACTTGTTTGCCAAGTCTGCTGTCTTATTTGGTCCAAGAGTGTAGCCCTGTCTTTCAAGTCTACCGATAATCCTCTCTTCATCATATTTGTAGTCGCTTCATGCGCCGTGTTGTATATCACTGCTCCATCACTGTAGTACACTCTCAGCCTGGCCGGGAAAGGGGACTGAAAACGGATGTTATTGTCCTAAAGCACCTTCTTCGTTGCCGCATATTCTCTTCTTCTTCATTGTATCTCCGGAGCATAGTCATTGTCCAAATGTATCCTGGTGCTTGGAAAATCAAGCACCCTAGCCTGCCAAGCCTTCTTGAGAATATCTTCCTTGGTACGATAACTTGCGAATTTCACAACAAATGAGCGTGGCAGGGTTCCGTCCCAGTACTGTCTCAGCAACAGTACTGGGAGCTCTTTCAATCCCCAGCGCGGGGGGAGAAGAGAGACCCAATGTCTTTTCCAAAAAAGTCTCCGATGGAAATGTGTCCTTCCCCTTCCTTCATGACGTATATTCTGAGATTCTTGCGAAATGAACATTACTCTAGATCCATCAGCTTTGTCTCATATCGCTAATTCCATTAGCAACTCCTCCAAAACCTAGATTCAAGTTCTCCACTATGCATCCATCTGCTTCATCAAGTCTTTTGCCGATGTCATTCACATCCTCCCTTATGGCATTAAACTACTCATTTGTGTCTTTTCTGAAAGCACGCAGTTCTTTTAATATCATATCCCTAGAAGGGGGGGAGGTCTTTCACATTAGCATTTGCATCAGGTTGCTGCTCTTCTTCCATATTACTACTAGCTTGGGATGAGGCGTCTTATCCCACTTCTCTACGTTCACTTATGTTCTTTTTCTTGAGTTTTCTGGGCATTTTTGTTTTGGAAAAAGGTATCCAGCACTTACAGTCCAAGATTTTTAGGTTTCAAGTTAGATAAGTTGGGGAAAAGAGTAATAAAGTTGGGAGTGTTTACTCTACATAGCCACCACTCGGCCTGACAGACCGGAAGTCTCATGGTCTGGCTTTTAACACGCTTTGACCAAAACATTTTGGTTTTAACAGCCGTAGTTGTAGTTGTTGTTTAAGTTGTTTATATTGACTTATGTCATCTACTTCTATAAATAAATTTGACCTTGACCTTAACCTTCTTATGGCTTCTGACAGTGCTTCTTGTGCCTGTCCAGCTAGATCTTGGTACTGGTACTTGCTTTCACTGATCTGTGAAAAGCACAGGGTGCCAGTGGAGGGCCTGCCAGTTCTGGTATTCTATGGGAAATGCCAATTGGGTCCTACAATCTGGCCAGTGAGCCAAGGGGCCATTTCATCAGGCTCTCAGGTCACCCTCATGAAGTCTGTTTCTGATTGTTTTTATCAGAGAAAATTATAATAGTGGTCACCTGGAAGTCATTTTGTGGGGCTCTGACATTGTTTATTCTGTTCTTCCTCAATTATACTTCTTTATGACACAAAACAAAATATTAAAATGACAAACTGGAAATGCATACTTCTTAAACCTCTCCTTTAAGCAATGGATAAGTTTAAATCTAGATCTTTAGTAATATGCTTAAAGGAGCACATGCTTGTTGACAACAACTATAATTTTTGCAAAGTCACAGTTATTACCAGATCATTCTTATTTGCTGTCATTTCATGATTGTCTCAGAAATTGCATATTCATCTGAATCATAGGAACACCATCTTAAACATGAGTGTGGCAGGGGTCTGGTCTGTGGCTCTGCTGCAGTGGAGGGGTGGTGCATTGGAATGGATTTCATCAGGCTATTTTACCGGAGTGCACACGGCTATTGCTTTGTATTAGTTCTGATGGATTATGCAAGGGGATACCTGGAAGCAGTGCTGCTGCTCACCATTTCTGCAATGAGTGTAGCGCAAGCGCTGTTTCAGGTAATCTTGTGATAATGACTGACCAGGGCATGTCGTTCATGTCTCGCACACTGGAAGAGCTGTATGAATTACTGGGCATTAAATCTATTCGGACCAGCATCTACCACTCTCAGACTGATGGGGTGGTGAAGCGGCTGAATAAGACTTTAAAGTAAGTGATTCGAAATTTCATTCATGAGGATGAACGCAATTGGGATTGCTGGTTAGACCCTCTGTTGTTTTGGAGTGCAAGAGGTGCCCCAGGCCTTCACAGAATTTTCTCCACGGGGGATGTTGGACCTGATTAAAGTGGAGGAGCCATACAAATATGTAGAATAGAATAGAATAGAATAGAATAATCAAAGAGTTGAACGCGCATGGGCAGAAATGTTGAGAGTGCAAGCAACACAATGCAAGCAAGCGCAAATGCAAAAACTGAGCGAGAGGAGCTGCTATTGTGTGTGTGTGTGTGTGTGTATGGATAACAGCAAACACTGAAATACATTTTTTGCACACAGCAATGAATTTTTTCACTCAAATTTAGCTTTTCTTCACTCAAAATAAATTTCTCCTCAAACTGCAACACTTGCACCTGCAAATTTTTTTTATGTGTGCTCAGAATAGTGGCACAAAGATAACGCCGTAGACTCTCCCTATTTTCAGTGACGCAGAGGCTTGAGAGAGTGGCTGAGTACAGAGTTGAGTGGAGAAGCAGCTGAAAAGCTGATCTCCCAACATAAAGAAAAGAAAGGATGTATTGTGCAAATAGAGCACAACAAAACTGTCACCTGAGGCTACATGGCGTCCATTCATTTCACAATGAGATTGAATTTACATGCGAAAGTAAAAGATATTTGTTGTCTCTTACCTCATCTGTGACCTGACCTCCAAAGGTAACCCAAGTTCCTGCAAAAGAATAAAAACTTTACACTTTCTTTCTTTGTGTGTGTGTGTGTGTGTGTGTGTGTGTGTGTGTGTGTGTGTGTGTGTGTGTGTGTGTGTGTGGCACATGTTGTCGCAGACCTGGCCTCCAAAGTTCCAGTGACATAAAAATAAAATATCAAAATTTCTGTGTGTGTGTGCAAACACATGTTTTAGCAGACATTATGTAATACCTTTTATTTGCTCTAAACATTGGACAAAATTCTGATTGGGGGAACATGTTTAGGCTGTAAATATTACTACAACTTTGAAACATTTTTACATAAAAACAGAGTGTATAAAAGAAGATGACTTGTCCTCCTAAGACAATAAAATTTTGATATTTTATATTTTGATCCAATGGCTCCCAGTTTGTTCATATATACAATGGGTCTTCCTTAAGATACAAATATTTGTTGTAGAATTTTGTTTTGTGTCAGTAAACATTAAACATGCCACACCAAACTAGCAGACAGGGGTGTTCAACTAAAATTTAAAAGGGTCCTGTCAGGGTTCGTGGGTCGGTGACCCAGTGTTTTCAGTTTTGTTCATGTTCAGTTTATTTTGCCACTTCCATGTGCTCACTTCCTGCTTTTCCTGTGTCAGCTCGTCTTGTGTCATTAGCCAGATTATGTTCAGCTGTGTACTCACCGGTCTCTCATTATCATCCTCATCAGTCTGTGTATTTAAGCACTCTGTTTCTACCCGTTCACTGTCGTGTCATTGATGTTACGTTGTCCTTCCCGTGTGTTCCCTCAGTTCAGTCAGCTGTTCAGTTTTCTAGCCAGTCAGTGTCCGTTCACCCTCTGTTCACCCACTCCCTATAATAAACCTTCACCTACCTGCCAGTCCTGCGTTTGGGTTCCTTCTTCCTCGCCTCCACACAACGCCTGACAGAATGACACGACCCGTGCCACGAAGACACGATTGGAACCCAGCGGACTCGGACCTCTACGAGCGGCAGGAGGTAGCGCTCTCCTTGTGGGCGGAAAAGCTCAAGGAGAAACAGCGGCTCTTCGCGGAGCAAGAGCACTTCTTCGAGGGTACTCGCCTGGCTCTGGGCGGACCTCGGAGACACTGCGTTCTCCCACCTGCTGCCTCACCTGCACCGGAGCATCTGCCGCGGAGAGTGGGCGTTTCGCGCCGCGCTTCGGCGGCTCCCTCTCTCGCGAGTCCGCTCCTCGCTCACACATCACCTGCCTCATTCACCGGACCTTCAACCTCGCCACGGCACAGCGGCTCCGCCTTCCACCTCGGCTCAACAGAGGCTCCCGTGCCAGAGGCTCGGACGTGTACCCCGCCCGCTTCCTCCTCCCGGAGAAAGCGGCGCACACGCCGCCATAAAATGGACTATTTCCAGCAATTCCCGGTGGTGAGTTCCAGTGACTGTTTTCCACCCTCATTTGACTCTCCACTTAAAACCAATAATAAACCGATCTCTCATTCATGGGATGTTTCCCTCCTGGAGGATTCTGTGGACTGGGAAGATTTGTTCTGCTCTGCTCCCCCAAAGACTGTAAATAGTGGTGGCAGAAGGACCAGCATAATCCCTGAGAAACTTGGCAGATTCACCCACCCAGTCATTATTTCCACCCCTATCAGTCAGCCTACACCCAAACCTGTGCCAGCTCCCAGGACGAGGGCAGCTGTGACTCAGTCTACCTCCACACCTGCTTCTCTTTCTCGGGTGGGGGTGACTGGTGTCCAGCCACCTGTCCCAGCGCCCTGGCTGAGGGCAGCCAGAACCCAGCCAGACCTCCCTAGAGGCTTGGAAGAGCTAACCGGTTCACCTGCTACCTCACCACTTCATCCACCTCCTGACCCAGCCTTTCACGCCCTCGCACTATCCCTAGTTAGATTAGCTGAACTGTCCCCTGCCCAGGCACCAGCCTTACTAGCCCAAGCTGTAATTTTATCTCCGTCACTAGCTCAGTCTGTAGCTCAGCCATTAGCCACACCAACCTCAGCTCCATCTGTTCATCCCTTAGCATCTCCACTCCAGTCAGTTCCCTCACCTGCTGTTCAGCTTCCACTCCAGTCAGTACCCTCACCTGCTGCTCAGCCTCCACTCCAGTCAGTTCCCTCACCTGCTGTTCAGCCTTCACTCCAGCCCCCTGTACTTTCGTCTCCTGTCCTCCAGTCCCCTCCAGTCCAGTCCGTAGTCCAGTCAGTCCAGTCTGCCCCTGTCCAGTCTGTAGTCCAGTCAGTCCAGTCTGCCCCCGCCTGAACGAGACAGTAGTAGTCTGTAGTCCAGTCAGTCCAGTCTGCTCCAGTCCAGTCTGTAGTCCAGTCAGTCCAGTCTGCTCCTGCTCAGTCTGTAGTCCAGTCGCCTCCTGTCTCCTAGTCGCCTGTCTACCATCCTGTTCAGTTCCCAGAGCCAGCTGTGAGCTCTCCCGCTCCTCAGCCAGGGGTTTCCGCACCCGCTGGCCCGGCCGCTCCTCAGCCAGGGGTTTCCGCACCCGCTGGCCTGGCCGCTCCTCAGCCAGGGGTTTCCGCACCCGCTGGCTCCAGCGGTTCCGCCTATGCTCCTGTCCCAGCCAGAGGCTTCCACGCCTACTGGCCCTGCCTGTCTCCAGCCAGAGGCTTCCGCGCCTACTGGCCCTGCCTGTCTCCAGCCAGAGGCTTCCGCGCCTACTGGCCCTGCCTGTCTCCAGCCAGAGGCTTCCGCGCCTACTGGCCCTGCCTGTCTCCAGCCAGAGGCTTCCGCGCCGCCTGGTCCGGCATCGGACTCAGCCGCTGCCTCGCCTGGTCCGGCCTCGGCCTCAGCGTCTGCTTCGCCTGGTCCGGCCTCGGCCTCAGCGTCTGCTTCGCCTGGTCCGGCCTCGGCCTCAGCGTCTGCTTCGCCTGGTCCGGCCTCGGCCTCAGCGTCTGCTTCGCCTGGTCCGGCCTCGGCCTCAGCGTCTGCTTCGCCTGGTCCGGCCTCGGCCTCAGCGTCTGCTTCGCCTGGTCCGGCCTCGGCCTCAGATTCTGCTTCGCCTGGTCCGGCCTCGGCCTCAGCTTAGCCTGGTCTGGCCTCAGCCTCTGCTTCTGCTTTGCCTGGTCCAGCCTCGGCCTCAGCTTCTGCTTCGCCTGGTCCTGCCACTGCCGCGTCGTCGCGTCAGCCATGTTCTGGACATCGTCGTCGCGGCCACCGGACCTGCTCAGTGGCCGCCGCCACCTTCCTCGCGGCCGCCCACCGGACCTGCTCAGTGGCCGCCGCCGCCTTCCTCGCGGCCGTCCACCGGACCGGCTCTGTGGTCGCCGCCACCTTCCACGCGGCCGCCCGCTTGAACTGTCTCGTCTCGGCCACGTGGCCGCCCGCCTGAACTGTCTCGTCTTGGCCGCGGACCACATGGCCGCCCACCGGTGCTGTCTCGGTGTGGACTCCGTCTGTGGAGACTCTGTGTGCCTCCCAGAGCACTCTGGCATGCACACACAACTTAGGTATATGGTATAGCAAACACACGTATATCTGTTTTAGTCTAAGTGCCCTTTGTTTAGATGAACTACTGGACTTCCAAGACCATAAGGTTTAGGAAAGTCTTTATGGGGTCACACTCTGCCCCCCCCCCACACACACACACACACACACACAGGCAAGGTACTCTTTGTTTGTATGTAAACGTCATATGTTAATGAACCTATGTATATTCATGTAACCTCAATAAAAGAGCAGAGTTACGTGCATCAGAGGGTGAAGAGAAGTTTATGAGGAATTCGCTCCTGGCAGCGCAAAGTATTTAGAATATTGGCACAAAAAATGTGATCTTGGGTGTAAACTGCTTGCTGGAAATTGTTAGAAGTTGTCAGAAAACACAGCAGCCTTAAAGAGCGTGTGGAGAAGGCCAGCCCACATCAGCAGCAGTTAAGATATGCTCTGGCGAATGGCTTTCACCCACCCATTGCTGAAACAAAATGTTTAGATGATTCTTTAGATTGCCCTGATCAACAACAGCTTGTGCTCCAGACCATTAATTTAACCAATTAAAAAAAGTAATCTGCATTAACCTTAGGGTTGCTCAAATTCAGTACAATGACATATGAGCTGAAGTAAAATAGGTAAATATTTAAACTAATGACGTGCATAAAGGCATTGAAAGACTGTCATCCTAATATGAGCCATTACTGAGATATAGAGCACACCTTTAAAAATAATTAAATATGCTGAACCCTGTATGAAGCAGCTGAAAACTACATGATGGAGAAGCTGAATATGAAAGTGCAAGTCTTTGCCACTGTGGGGCAAAGCACGCAACCACTTTGTGAGGTTACGTTACGGTCTCTTCTGAGCTGATGAGCAAGCTACACATTATCAGATCGGGAGCTGGCTGAGAACTCATCAAAGAGAGGGAAACAGAATTATGATAGCTCAAGTATGCAGCGTATCCGTGAGTTCAGCTTCTTCTTTCAGATGCGCAGCATTTTTCCTGTATCTTGACTCATGTGTGTAGAGTGTTCATAGCATCAGCATCACGTTTTTGCTTGTTGGTTTTGGTGGGTTGAAGAATAACTAAATAAACTTGTGATCATACTTATGGATCACCATGGCACATACCATTGGCCATATGATTTATTTACGCAGATGAAAAAAGTGAGTGTGAATGTGCCTGACGTCGCAGTGTGTGTGTGTGCGCTGTGTAAAATAATGGTCTCCAATTGTGAGAGCGGTGATTCTGCAGGTCACCAGCTATCGTGGTGGAAAAAAGAACAAAAGAAAAGAAACAAAATTTACATTGTAGATGGAAAATAATAATATGGAAAAGGTTTTGTGTTTATCAGCCAAGAACAACTACAATCTCATTTTCTGCTTTCAAGACAGGAGAGTCCACAAAAATAGAGAGGGAGATGTGTGTTGTTTAAGCAGTGGAGAGACTAATGAAAATGTCTTAGTTTGTCACTTTCAGGTGAAAACAGACATGGATCAATTTTCCACATGCAGCAGTTGGAAGAAAATTATAGGTTTCACATCATTAGGAAACACTCAGGCTGAGCCTTTGGCTGAGTGGTGTTTAC